AAAAAAACGAAACATTCCAGTGACTGATTCCCGCAGTACCTCTTTAAACCCTTCTTCCCGTGAAGAAAAAAAGTTCTTTCAGCGATTCCATCTCTTTCCAGCTATTCACTACTGCCAAATTCTCCATTGGGCATTGGTTCTAGACGACTTGGTTACTGTTAATCACTTCTTCTTTGTGCTCCCACAAACATGTATTAAAGTCAATTGATCCTGATCTGTAGTAACTATCACAAGCGGACCTAAATTCTCTCCAGCACTCTCAAAAGCCTATCTTCGCAAAAGTATTTGCTCATATTACTGTTGAGAATGCCAGTAGCAGTTTTCGAAAATAGTTAATTTGTTTAGTAAACAACGTGGAGAGGTGAGAGAAGTAACCTCGTGAACAGAAAAAACACAAAAAGATGATAATTTTAGCTACGACAAAACCCCACGAGCGCTGATTTTCCGCAGAGATCATAACGACGTCGTCGATATGGAGAGTATGATTAAACTAATGAGGTGAAGTTTGTTTTGATTATGATTTTTCTGATTTATTTAATGCATGATTAGCTGGATCACCAGAAAAGAAACTTGGTGATTCAGTTGGTGATCCAAAACGAGAAAGGAAATTGCTCAAATGGTTAAATCGGACCACATCCTCCTTCTTAAGGTCTGCACAAAACCAAGTGAATTTTTTGAACATGTCTTTTTTTCTATTAAATGATGAGCGATTCCCAGACACTGCCTTAATCAGTGGCCTAATAGCTGACTGCAGATGGGGAAAACTCGCTCAGCGGTCAACGTTTCAGGGGGCATCGTTGCACCCTTTCGTCTACATTATCTGACTAATACAAGAACTAGCAGCTTGTTTCTACAGAAAGTTTTTATTACGACTGTAAACGAACCTGTAAACAATCTGTCGGCTGTAAACAAACAACTTAACCCATAAACCTGTGGCAACAGAAACAATGACGTTATAAAATTGTGCAAGTTTCTAGAGTTGGTTCACCTATATGGATTACAGGCCCTAATAAATTTTACAATTCGTCGAATTTTTTCCAATTAAGGTCAAACGATTATACCAAGGACCCCCTGGCGAAATGCGATTGCAATCCACCATACTCTGCAGAGAATGCGATTTCTTGTCGAAGTGATCTGAATCCAGCTAATGGCACCTATCCATTCGCATCGCTCGGGTTCCGAGATCATGGATCTACCGACGTAAAGGTGACCCCTAAACTCAGCTTTGTTTCATCAGAAAATCGATGATCACATGCTGATTCAGGTGACGAACTCGAGGATGATAGGATCGTTGATGTTCACCGCTATAGCCGGACCAACCCATGATCCAACACCTGTCTTCGACTGGTCTAACACAGCACTTCCGGACTATATTCCACATCATGGACAACCAATTCGATGGGAGTAAGTACACAGTGCTCAGTTTTTCTAAGTATTATAGTAGTGCGCAATACCAAGCTTAAATCTAAGTTTGCAAGGACTAACACTGTATTCAACCTACCCTAACGACGTGAATTCGAAAGTGAGTCACGAGGCGCCATCCTAATCGAAATCAGGACATCGCGCGCTGTATGCATAATTCAAATGCCGTAACCGATGACCTTAGTAGTGCCTCCTGGTTCCAGCGGCGACAATAGCCATTATTGTTAATGACGACCTATTTTTACAAATATCAGAAGGACCGTCTAGAGAGATTGGTCGTGCAGAGTCAAAACGTGAATTTAAAGGCACAGATGACGTTGAGAATGTTTTCTGAGGTTTCCCTTTTGGATGGGCCTGTGGCCCCCAAGGATAGCCTAAGGGGCGCTGTCGGGTCGAAAAAAGGCCAAGATAGGGCGTAATAAGAGCCCCAAAATCGGCTTATCCGACGTACACACCCAAGGCGGACGAATTGTTATTGGTAAGCATTGTAAAATCTGTAGAGGTTGCACCACTCGCGCCGAGACCCACACTTTGCACGCAGGCAGCCAACTGCAGCCAGTTGTGTGAGATGGCGCTCTCATTTGAACAACTCGTCCCAATACTCCTTCCATGCAACTTTTGTCGTCACATTCTCGTCCAATCCAAAATTAACTTCTTGATACCTCGAAACTATCGGGAACTGCGCCTTTAATCCGGATTTGAGAGTGTGCAGGATGAACCAGAGATGTTGTAATTTGACGCTCATAACCCGAACGAGTGCATCTGCGATTCACTCTGAAGAGCTGACCACGCGTGCGAATGTCCTATGCTTTTGTTGAAGAGATATGGTCCCAAGTTGAAAGAAAGTAAACAATACTGCAGTCTGTCGGTTTTATTGTCGTGATATGAATTTTCTTCGTGATTTCAGATTCGAGCCGGTAACACATCGATGGTCAAATTCACTTTATGAAACGCAGACCTTCTCTGACGCGGCTCAGGACTTCTCTTGATTAGCCCGAGCTCTCTCTGACAATCACTTGAAATGTTTACAACTCTCAGTGCAATTTGGCGTTTCACTCATATTCAAAAGCTGTTAAGTATAACGATTTCCTTTCTTATTTTCATGTACCGGTAGTGCTTTTGTTCAAATCATTTATCAATCCATTACTATGCACTGATATAAAAATACTAATATGATGTTACTCGATTTTGTCCTAACTTGAAAGAGAGCGGCCGAAAAGTGAGAGGTGCCATGTCAAGATCAACCCGCCCCCTCACTACTGAATGTTGATTTTACTTAGTGTTTACGGGTTCAGGGAGTGACAGGGCGGAGGTGGTGCGGTGGCAAGAGGCGCACTAACACACACGCAAGGTCACGGGTCGATGTCCGACTAAGCCAAGCAAGCCTTCCATCCTTCCGGGGTCAGTCAGTTGGTGCCAGACTCTTCTGGGAAGATAAATTTCATTAACTTGTACATTGGCTGGATACAACAAGCCATTGTATAGCGTTCAAAGTGCTTTCTCAATGTAGAAGAAGAGCCTTTAAAGAAGTTTGTCAAGACCCAGAGTAATCCAGCCTATAAGTGAGGGGATCGCCTTTACAGGCTCCCACCTGAGTGGACCCAAACCGGTAAAGAAGTAGACGTAAGTTATGCATGAACGCGTGGGTATGCCCCTAGATGGGAAACTCAAGGAAGCTTCCAGAAAATGCTGCGAGAAATCTGGACTGTTGCGAACATTTCGGCATATACTTTCCACAACCTCACTCCATAGATGGAGAGAAAAAGTTGCGAACTACAAGGGAACTAGTAGGTGTTTCACACCCTACTTGAAAGTTCCCTTGAGAAATCCCACTCCCACTTCTTGCATGTATAGGTTATTCCCTGAATTCATTCTGTAGCGCGAAGGGTTGCTAGAATCACACGATTACTCATTGACGTCATTCCGTTCGTAAGTAAATGTTGCGTTCGAATTCTTGCAAAGAGTTACTAATCCATCTCTCAGAAACTGAGAATGTTAGCAGTAACTATGGTAGGTAATTTCGGCATAGTAATACTTCGGTAATGGTATTAGAGCTGGTCGTACTTTGTATTCTCTCATGCTGCATCTGTACTTTAGCATAAGAAGTGATTTCTCGAGCACACACTCAACCTAAATTTCGTGACAACACTTTTGGAAAAAGGGTCAAGGGTCTGCACTTGAATAAAATTAGGGATTTCATATCGCAAAGCAGCAAAGGACAATGATGTCACCTGTCCCCCCGTCCCCGTGGTTGATTAACTGGAACCTTATCCGCGAAAGTCCTATTTGTGTGGTGGTTCAGAGGTTCTAATGACTCCGGTGATAATGGAATAAAGATCCAACAAATGAATGATAAGTGCGGATGCTATCGCGATAAAAATACTGAATAGTAATAAGTATCTATCTAATAGGACCGTTATTAGTTAATCCGCTTAATCCCACACCACTTAAGATCAAATAGGGAGTCGCCTCAGGCGGTAAAACGAAGAAATGCTGAGTCGCCGTAGACGAAGATACCTATTTATACTTGAAAGTTGTATATCTATGATTTTTTCCAAACAAACTAGTCGTATACAGGCTAACAACGTAAATGTTCATTCTATTTTGTACAGACATTACGAAAAGATCACAGATGTCGTCGATGTCTTACGAGTTCATCGGCGGCTCTTCGTCGACGCAGGACATCTGGTTCTGAAAGAGAAGTACTTGAGTTGAGATTTTCGTTAATCGAGGTTCATTGACCGGGAAAATGATGGAAAAAACTGAAAGGGAGCTCGATACTAAAAAACCCGGCTGGGAGGGTCCGCTTTGGGATTGGTTCTACTTCCTTTTCAGGTTCACGCGACTTCACTGCTGCTAGCAGCATTTAATGACGGTGTTCACAAGTAATTATCCCTTTCCCGAATACAGAGCCCTATATATAAAGCCCTACAAGTGTCTGATCCAATTGCAGATCCCTATAACAGCACACAGTACAGGACCTCTTCGGCTACGTGTGTATGAGAAGGGAGGTCAACATAATGAACGGTCTGGATCCAGTGTTGAGAAGGAAGAAACGACTTGTGAAGTTTAAAGAGTAGTGAGAAAGCAAGGAACTTCAGGTTCCGATCAAACGATTTTACCGAAGGTTCGGACTTCTTCGTGAATGCTCTGAGCGAAGGCAATGCTCTGCTCCACTTTCTTTGAGCGAGGAGAACAGACTAAACTTCGTTGGCTTGTGAGAAGGACAAAAGGAGGCTCAACTGCTAGGTCGTTCGGCGAGTATCTACCAAAATTTTGCAGTAGTCCAGATTTTTCTGGACCACCTAGTTTCTATGCCTTTCTTTCAAATGCAGCTCAGAGTATATTATCAGAGGGTACCGAGAGAAGGTCGTATGCGTTTCCTGAAGCTTTTACTGTATAGTATTTGGTACACTCACCTTGGAATAGTTGTTGATATGCTTTTTGCTGAATCATTGCCCTATTCCATGACGATATACTCCAATTTGGCGAATGATGAGGAGTTCGCAGTAAATTCACCATTACTGCAAAGAAATCGTTCAGTATGTCCAGGTCTCAATGAAGAAAGGGTCGCAAGCGAACAAAACTTCCTTTAGAGCCTTCCTAGAAGTAATTTTGCAATCAAGAGCTGCTCAAGAACAACTGCTGTCCAGCTTTCGATAGTCTCAATAAAACGCCCAAAAAGCCTATGCTTGAGCAGCGTGCGACTTTCTCTCAGAACTTTGACAGAACTTAACAGTTTGGCCTTCACAATGAGTTGTTGGGGACAAACAATGAATAATTCATGTTTGGCATTTTGTTTTTATACTCGGGCGCATCCAACAGCTTCACCGTTCCCGCTGTTCCCCGAATGTAGCGGCATTGCTACCCCGAATGGGATCCGAATCAGTCGATGATTGGCCTACTTCTCATATTGGGTCAGAATGCTTCCTTTTTACCTGGAAGCTCAAGAATAGAGCTGATCATTTCAACCTTTTGGATTCCCAGGAATAATTTCAACTTTGAAAAATTAATTTTCATCCAGAGAATCGACCCTCGGATTTGCAGACGACAGCCATACAAGTGCACCCCTTTCAATCCCGCTCATAGCCATTTTGCAGCAGTCTTCATTCGAATGCCACAGTATTTTAAAGAGAAATGTAGTGTTCTGGCATCTCAAAGGACCTCAATAATGCCGACCTTCTTTGTTTTCAAAGAGCTCTCACAAAGATATGTAAAAATTACAGTAAACTTTCTAGGACGCTTGAAACAATCTAAAGGGCAGGATTAAGGGTTTTGCAGCTGTTATTCTATAAAGGTTCTTACCTAATACTCATGGGAAAACGGTATTTTCCTCTTCGGAATCGGCCCATGCTCTTTCAAACTTCCTTCTTCCTATTCTTTCTCTACTAAGAAACAATTCTAATCCCCAATGGGCTTCTTCTTGTATTCGGAAGTTATTAGGTTGGTCATTTGGCATTTATCCACCACTCATACATATTCTAGTTGAGCCGGGTAGCTATGGCCGGCACCAATGGACCTGTAGCTGTAAAAGTCCGTCTTTGTTGTAGTGGATGATAATAAAATTGAATACGAATGAAGCGTCGTCACAGGAATGCGCCTACCCGTTCGACTTCCATGCAGAATTGTAGTGACGGTTGGAAGGATATGGGCTACTTACCCAATGACTTGCGGTGGCCATCTTATGTGCACGTCAAGGCTTTTATCCTCCCAGATGGATCTGTTACCAATCAAGCGACCCGAAGTGATGGAAGGTTTGCTGGCCCAGGTAGATATCGATCCGGGATTCAACCCGTGAACATGCGTGTGTGATATGTGCCACTTGCCACTACACCACCTCCGTCTCAAACGACTTATGATAGTTAAAGTAAAATAAAGCAACAAAGGTCAGAAGTTGTGGAATATCACAGCAGTATCACTACCTTACGCATAGTCTGCGGGTTAGATTATGGGCTAGAGACACCAGTCGGCGCTACAATCTCGCTGAGATATTATTGAGACCAGACTACTCCGAAGAGGATAAAAACACTGAATTTTACACGAGCTCACTGCAAGCATTGCCTAATTTGTCAACTATCCAGTCAAGCACCACCGGGTGCGCTTCGTTGTGAGCGTTCATCGAAACTAGGCCACGCCGCAGCCGTTGCACGCAGCGGGGCAACCCGCGATACTTGACAAACGTCGCAGTTGTCAGCGGGGCATACGAATTGCGCTTGGTCCACAAAAGTCGGCCAAGAGAAGATAACACGGACAAATGCTGATCATTCGCTCCATTGACACTTGGTAGTACTNTTTGCAGTATTCCAGATTTTTCTGGACCACCTAGTTTCTATGCCTTTTTTTCAAATGCAGCTCGGAGTATATTACCAGAGGGTACCGACAGAAGGTCGTATGCGTTCCCTGAAGCTTTTACTGTATAGTATTTGGTACACTCACC